GGAGCTGGATCAGCACAGACAGTAATTAAGACACTCCCAGAGGAGGAGGGGTCTATGACATGTAAAGAGGGAGGAGCTGGGCAGGAAAAGACAATAATTAAGACACTCCCAGAAGAGAAGAGGGCTTGGACATGCAAGGAGGGAGGAGCTGGGCCAACACAGACAGCAATTAAGACACTCTCAGAAGAGAAGGGGCCTCTGATGTGTAAAGAGGGAGGAGCTGGGCAGGAAAAGACAATAATTAAGACACTCCCAGAAGAGGAGGGGCCTCTGATGTGTAAAGAGGGAGGAGCTGGGCAGGAAAAGACAATAATTAAGACACTCCCAGAAGAGGAGAGGGCTTGGACATGCAAGGAGGGAGGAGCTGGGCCAGCACAGACAGCAATTAAGACACTCCCAGAACAGGAGAGGCCTCTGACATGCAGGCGGGGGAGGGAGGCTGTCTTCGGGAATTGACTTTTCCTGCAGTAGTCAATTTTTTTCAGCAAAATCAGCAACTCATTTGAAGTCAAATCAATAAATAAAGCATTCCCGTTCCTTTCTTTCTCTTTAGCGGCAGATGTGGAAGCTGATGACAGGGTCTCTTTAATCCTTCACCCTGACACCCGGTACTGTGCCCTGTAATTACAGAGGAGACGGGGAACATGGTTGATACGCCGCATTGACGATGACAGATATTCGCCACCTTAACGCCCTGCGTCCTGTAAAACATGAGGGCAGCCGCCTCCATAACAGCCAATGGGGGTGGGACCGATGCCACCTCTGCCGGGGCACACAGCGCAAGATGGAGCGTCATGACGTCATCGCGGTGACTCTGAGGGTGAAGAAGGCTTCTGGCGCCCATTTATAGGATGATGGTTATGCAATGAGCAGAAATCTCATCCCTCCCACACCTTGGGGGATTTCTGTTCACCGGCTGAAAGTCATAAAAACGCACCAACAGAGGCAGGCAGAGGATGGATGTGCGGGGGGGGGGGGCCTGCAAAGAAGAACAGCCAAGGAAAAGGTGGCGTGATAAAGCCCAACTCCGGGGGGGCAATTAAAAAAAAACATTGCTCTTCCAGTGGTGCCCCTACACTGCAAGGGTTAGCTGCGTGTTCCGTCTAGGGATACAGAGATAAGTAATGCTTTCCTTACACCAGGGACAGAACTACCGGGGTCACGAAGGTCTCATTTGTGATTGGGCCCTGGCGTTCATTGCCAAGATGGCAGGAAGGGGGCCCACTGCAGAACATGGGCTCAGTTCTCACTGCTGCGACTTGCGTGTAATTTCCTTCCAAGTTGTGTGATTCAACAGTGCAGTCTATGGCTCTCAAATCGCACCAAAGTTGCAGAAAAGTAAAGGGCCAATGGAAAGGGTCCTGGGACCAGTGGGAAGGGCCCCAGTGATCAGGGGGGAGCTTCATGGCGTCTTGCTTGGGGCCCTGAAGGTTCTGCCTTGCTTCTCTAGGCTGCCTCCCGCAGAGGCTCTTCTCTGAGATTCTCCAGGCCATGGTTGCACACCTGCCTCCTCCATGTGCATTACGGGGTTAATGGCCCCGCATTGTATGTGAAGATGCTGAGGGACCACCCACAGCCAGGGCCGGTGCTACCACTAGGCAAACTGGGCAGCTGCCTAGGGCACACTACTGCCTAGGGGCGCAGCCACTGCCTCTGGTTTCCCTACTCTATGCCATGGCCGGATCTAGAGGGGCGCTGGGATGGGTTTTGGGGGGGATTTGAGCAAGGTGGATTTTGTGCTGGGAAGGGTAATTGGAGGGGGTTTAGCTAGAGGAGGGATTTGGGGGAATCCTTCCTGGGGTGGGGGGTTTAAAGGAAGAGGAGTGATGCTGGGAGGGGGGACATATGTTCTATGAGGGGTATTGAGGGGGATTTGTGCTAGGAGACGGGATTGGGGGGATTTGTACTAGAAGGGGGGATTGGGTGGATGTGCTAGGAGGGGGATTTGGGGGGGGGGGCATTTGTGCTAGGAGGGGGGATTGGGTGGATGTGCTAGGAGGGGGATTTTGGAGGGGGTTTAGACTAGTAGACTAGGAGGAGGATGGGGGGATTTGTGCTAGGAGGGGGGATTGGGTGGATGCGCTAGGAGGGGGATTTTGGAGGGGGGTTTAGACTAGTAGACTAGGAGGGGGGATGGAGGGGGATTTGTGCTAGGAGGGGGGATTGGGTGGATGCACTAGGAGCGAAATTGGGGGGATTTGTGCTGGGAAGCATAATTTGGAGGGGGTTTAGACTAGGAGGGGGGATGGGGGGGATTTGTGCTAGGAGAGGGGATGTGGGGGAGAGGATTTGTGCTAGAAGGGGGGATGGGTGGATGTGCTAGGAGGTGGATTTGGGGGGGCATTTGTGCTAGGAGAGAGGGATTGTGGGGATTTATGCTAGGAGGGGGGATGTGGGGCAGAGGATTTGTGCTAGGGGAGAGTGATGGGGGGGGGATTTGTGCTAGAAGGGGGATTGGGTGGATGTGCTAGGAGAGGGGGATGGGGGGGGGGGTTTGTGCTGGGAAGGGTAATTTGGAAGGGGTTTGGACTAGGAGGTGGGATTGGGGGGATTTATGCTAGGAGGGGGGTGGGGGGGATTTGTGCTTGGAGAGAGTGATTGGGGGGAGGAATTGTGCTAGAAGGGGGGATTGGGTGGATGTGCTAGGAGATGGATTTTGGGGGAGCATTTGTGCTAGGAGAGGGGGATTGGGGGATTTATGGTAGGAGGGGGGATGTGGGGGAGAGGATTTTCTAGGAGAGGGGGATGGGGGAGGATTTGTGCTAGGAGAGAGGGGTGGGGGGGATTTGTGGTAGGAGGGGGGGATTAGGTGGAAGTGCTAGGAGGAGGATTTTGGGGGCATTTGTGCCGGGAAGGGTGATTTAGAGGGGGTTTGGACTAGGTGATGGGATTTGGGGGGATTTATGCTAGGAGGGGGGATGTGGGGGAGAGGATGTGTTCTGGGGGGGTGGGGGGTGAAGTAGAACTATAGGTGAAGTTTCATTTTTTTGTGAAGTGGGGGAGGAAATTTGCTGGTCGTGCCGAGGGCACTAAATAGTCTAGCCTCAGCCCTGCCCACAGCACAAGGCATAGGAGAAGCTCTGGAGAAGTGCAGGGTGGGTGCAGGGGTAGGGCGCAGGGTGGGTGCAGGGTAGGGTGCAGGGGTAGGGCGCAGGGTGGGTGCAGGGTAGGGCGCAGGGTGGGTGCAGGGTAGGGTGCAGGGTGGGTGCAGGGTAGGGCGCAGGGTGGGGTGCAGGGTAGGGGTAGGGCGCAGGGTGGGTGCAGGGTAGGGTGCAGGTAGGGCGCAGGGTAGGGTGCAGGGTTTTGGGTTGCAGGGTAGGGTGGGTGCAGGGTGGGTGCAGGGTAGGGTGCAGGGTGGGGTGCAGGGTAGGGCGCAGGGTGGGGTGCAGGGTAGGGCGCAGGGTGGGTGCAGGGTAGGGCGCAGGGTGGGGTGCAGGGTGGGTGCAGGGTGCAGGGTGCAGGGTAGGGCGCAGGGCAGTGGTGGGTGCAGGGTTAGGGCGCAGGGTGGGGTGCAGGGTAGGGGCGCAGGGTGGGTGCAGGGTAGGGCGCAGGGTGGGGTGCAGGGTGGGGCGCAGGGTGGGTGCAGAATAGGGCGCAGGGTAGGGTGCAGGGTAGGGTGCAGGGTGGGTGCAGGGTAGGGTGCAGGGTGGGTGCAGGGTGGGTGCAGGGTAGGGTGCAGGGTGGGTGCAGGGTAGGGCGCAGGGTGGGGTGCAGGGTGGGTGCAGGGTAGGGCGCAGGGTGGGTGCAGGGTAGGGTGCAGGGTAGGATGCAGGGTGGGTGCAGGGTGGGTGCAGGGTGGGTGCAGGGTAGGGTGCAGGGTAGGGCGCAGGGTGGGTGCAGGGTAGGGTGCAGGGTGGGTGCAGGGTAGGGCGCAGGGTGTGGGGTGCAGGGTGGGATGCAGGGTGGGATGCAGGGTGGGTGCAGGGTAGGGTGCAGGGTAGGATGCAGGGTGGGTGCAGGGTGGGTGCAGGGTAGGGCGCAGGGTGGGTGCAGGGTAGGGCGCAGGGTGGGTGCAGGGTAGGGTGCAGGGTGGGATGCAGGGTGGGTGCAGGGTAGGGTGCAGGGTAGGGCACAGGGTGGGGGTGCAGGGTGGGTGCAGGGGGTAGGGCGCAGGGTGGGTGCAAGGTAGGGTGCAGGGTAGGATGCAGGGTGGGTGCAGGATAGGGTGCAGAGTAGGGGTGTGCAAGGTCAGTAGGACATCTTCGGTTCCTCTAGAGATGCATGTAACCCCCCGCAGTGCAGGAGACATGCGTGGTTCCGGGATGGCTGAAAGAACGGTGGGCAGTAATGTGCTGCAATGGTGCAAATCTGTCCGGAACGTTTAGGTCCTTCTAAAGGGGGAGATCCGACTGTAATGGATGTGGCCAGCTGAAGGCCCGTAGGCCCTGAGCTTGGTGATCTCTACGGCATCCATTTGAGATACTTCTGAGATTATTCTGAATTCATTGACCGGTACCGTCTGACCTGCTGGTGAACTCCATCTGACCTGCTATTGATCTGCTTCTGACTTGCCTCAAGCAGAATATTTTTATTTCCATAGACTTGTATAGGAGTACAAAACCTATCTGAAGCAAACAAAAGCCCATCGATGACAGTCCCGGAGTCACTTGATTGGCAAAGATGAGACTGTCCATGTGACCAGTTAATATGATCTGACAATCCTTTGAATGCAGGCTGAGCTTTCTGCAACAAGTCTTGTCATTAAAAAAAAATGACTTTCAAGGTAAATGTTACACCAATTCAACACACTTTATAGGGTAAAGTATGTAGACAAAGGACACACCCAGCCACACCTCAGACCGACCATGTAGAATAGATATGCAGAAAATGACTGGTTAGACCAACTTTTCTCAACCCTTTCTAACATGGAGGAACCCCGACTAGTAATTACTATATCTACAGCTCACAGTACATTAGTGTGATGGTCAGTGGGAAGAATGTCCCTTACATTGGGGGTCAGTGGGAAGAATGTCCCTTACATTGGGGGGTCAGTGGGAAGAATGTCCCTTACATTGGGGGTCAGTGGGAAGAATGTCCCTTACATTGGTGATCAGTGGGAAGAATGTCCCTTACATTGGTGTGTCAGTGGGAAGAATGTCCCTTACATTGGGGGTCAGTGGGAAGAATGTCCCTTACATTGGTGGTCAGTGGGAAGAATGTCCCTTACATTGGGGGTCAGTGGGAAGAATGTCCCTTTACATTGGCGGTCAGTGGGAAGAATGTCCCTTACATTGGGGGTCAGTGGGAAGAATGTCCCTTACATTGGTGATCAGTGGGAAGAATGTCCCTTACATTGGGGGTCAGTGGGAAGAATGTCCCTTACATTGGTGATCAGTGGGAAGAATGTCCCTTACATTAGGGGGTCAGTGGGAAGAATGTCCCTTACATTGGGGGTCAGTGGGAAGAATGACCCTTACGTTGGGGGTCAGTGGGGAATGTCACATTGGGAAGAATGTCCCTTACATTGGTGATTAGTGGGAAGAATGTCCCTTACATTGGGGGTCAGTGGGAAGAATGTCCCTTACATTGGTGATCAGTGGGAAGAATGTCCCTTACATTGGGGGTCAGTGGGAAGAATGTCCCTTACATTGGGGGTCAGTGGGAAGAATGTCCCTTACATTGGGGGTCAGTGGGAAGAATGTCCCTTACATTGGGGGGGTCACTGGGGAAGTGGGAAGAATGTCCCTTACATTGGTGATTAGTGGGAAGAATGTCCCTTACATTGGGGGGTGGGAAGGTCAGTGGGGTCAGTGGGAAGAATGTCCCTTACATTGGGGGTCAGTGGGAAGAATGTCCCTTACATTGGTGATCAGTGGGAAGAATGTCCCTTACATTGGGGGTCAGTGGGAAGAATGTCCCTTACATTGGGGGTCAGTGGGAAGAATGTCCCTTACATTGGGGGTCAGTGGGAAGAATGTCCCTTACATTGGGGGGGTCACTGGGAAGAATGTCCCTTACATTGGTGATCAGTGGGAAGAATGTCCCTTTACATTGGTGGTCAGTGGGAAGGATGTCCCTTACATTGGTGATCAGTGTGGGAAGAATGTCCCTTACATTGGGTGGTCAGTGGGAAAGAATGTCCCTTACATTGGTGGTCAGTGGGAAGAATGTCCCTTACATTGGGGGGTCAGTGGGAAGAATGTCCCTTACATTGGTGATCAGTGGGAAATGGAAGAATGTCCCTTACATTGGTGGTCAGTGGGTGGGAAGTGGGGATGTCCCTTACATTGGTGATCAGTGGGAAGAATGTCCCTTACATTGGTGGTCAGTGGGAAGAATGTCCCTTACATTGGGGGTCAGTGGGAAGAATGTCCCTTACATTGGGGGTCAGTGGGAAGAATGTCCCTTACATTGGGGGGGTCAGTGGGGGAAGAATGTCCCTTACATTGGTGATCAGTGGGAAGAATGTCCCTTACATTGGAGGTCAGTGGGAAGAATGCCCCTTACATTGGGGATCAGTGGGAAGAATGTCCCTTACATTGGGGGGTCAGTGGGAAGAATGTCCCTTACATTGGTGATCAGTGGGAAGAATGCCCCTTACATTGGGGGTCAGTGGGAAGAATGTCCCTTACATTGGGGGTCAGCATTGGGTCAGGGGAAGAATGTCCCTTACATTGGAGGTCAGTGGGAAGAATGTCCCTTACATTGGTGATCAGTGGGAAGAATGTCCCTTACATTGGTGATCAGTGGTGGGAAGAATGTCCCCCTTACATTGGTGGTCAGTGGGAAGAATGTCCCTTACATTGGTGGTCAGTGTGGGAAGAATGTCCCTTACATTGGGGGTCAGTGGGAAAGAATGTCCCTTACATTGGTGATCAGTGGGAAGAATGTCCCTTACATTGGGGGTCAGTGGGAAGAATGTCCCTTACATTGGTGGTCAGTGGGAAGAATGCCCCTTACATTGGTGATCAGTGGGAAGAATGTCCCTTACATTGGTGATCAGTGGGAAGAATGTCCCTTACATTGGGGGGTCAGTGGGAAGAATGTCCCTTACATTGGCGGTCAGTGGGAAGAATGTCCCTTACATTGGGGGGGTCAGTGGGAAGAATGTGTCCCTTACATTGGTGCATTCAGTGGGAAGAATGTCCCTTACATTGGTGGTCAGTGGGAAGAATGTGTCCCTTACATTGGGGGTCAGTGGGAAGAATGTCCCTTACATTGGTGATCAGTGGGAAGAATGAATGTCCCTTACATTGGGGGTCAGTGGGAAGAATGTCCCTTACATTGGGGGTCAGTGGGAAGAATGACCCTTACATTGGGGGGTCACTGGGAAGAATGTCCCTTACATTGGTGATTAGTGGGAAGAATGTCCCTTACATTGGGGGGTCAGTGGGAAGAATGTCCCTTACTTATTGGTGATCAGTGGGAAAAGAATGTCCCTTACATTGGTGATTAGTGGGAAGAATGTCCCTTACATTGGGGGTCAGTGGGAAGAATGTCCCTTACATTGGTGGGGGTCAGTGGGAAGAATGTCCCTTACATTGGGGGTCAGTGGGAAGAATGTCCCTTACATTGGGGGTCACTGGGAAGAATGTCCCTTACATTGGTGATTAGTGGGAAGAATGTTGTCCCTTACATTGGGGGTCAGTGGGAAAGAATGTCCCTTACATTGGGGGTCAGTGGGAAGAATGTCCCTTACATTGGTGATCAGTGTGGGAAGAATGTCCCTTACATTGGGGGTCAGTGGGAAGAATGTCCCTTACATTGGGGGTCAGTGGGAAGAATGTCCCTTACATTGGGGGTCAGTGGGAAGAATGTCCCTTACATTGGGGGGTCACTGGGAAGAATGTCCCTTACATTGGTGATCAGTGGGAAGAATGTCCCTTACATTGGGTGGTCAGTGGAAAGATGTCCCTTACATTGGGTGATCAGTGGGAAGAATGTCCCTTACATTGGGGGGTCAGTGGGAAGAATGTCCCTTACATTGGTGGTCAGTGGGAAGAATGTCCCTTACATTGGGGGGTCAGTGGGAAGAATGTCCCTTACATTGGTGATCAGTGGGAAGAATGTCCCTTACATTGGTGGTCAGTGGGAAGGATGTCCCTTACATTGGTGATCAGTGGGAAGAATGTCCCTTACATTGGTGGTCAGTGGGAAGAATGTCCCTTACATTGGGGGTCAGTGGGAAGAATGTCCCTTACATTGGGGGTCAGTGGGAAGAATGTCCCTTACATTGGGGGTCAGTGGGAAGAATGTCCCTTACTTACATTGGTGATCAGTGGGAAGAATGTCCCTTACATTGGAGGTCAGTGGAAGAATGTCCCCTTACATTGGGGATCAGTGGGAAGAATGTCCCTTACATTGGGGGGTCAGTGGGAAGAATGTCCCTTACATTGGTGATCAGTGGGAAGAATGCCCCTTACATTGGGGGTCAGTGGGGAAGAATGTCCCTTACATTGGGGGTCAGTCGGGGAAGAATGTCCCTTACATTGGAGGTCAGTGGGAAGAATGTCCCTTACATTGGTGTTTAATCAGTGGGAAGAATGTCCTTACAGTTGTGGCCAAAATTATTCAACCCCCAATGCTGTAAAGGGGTTTAGGGACTATAGTGTACATTTGGAATTGTATTCAGTGGGAGAATCAAAATCCTACAAGGACGTTGTAACTACCCAAATGCAACTAAAATGACATCAATTGTTTATGTAATACAGTAGTAAATGGTTTCTTATGTGGTTTCTTCATTGCCACAATTATTCAACCCCTTAAAGACTACCACTCTGAAGAAGAACAGAGGTTCATACAGGTGCTTTCCATCAGGTATTGAAAACACCTGTGGATGTCACCGAGCAGCAATCAAGCATAATAAGCACCAATTAGGCAGCTTTAAAAATGACTGTGATACTCAGCTCCTTCTAGACATTTACTGGTGTGGTTACAAACATGGTGAAGGCAAGAGAATGGTCCAGGAAGACAAGAGAAGAGGTGATTTTCTCTTCACAGGAAGGGCAATGGCTATAAGAAGATTGCAAGAGATGTTAAACATACCAAGAGACACCTTAGGAAGCATCATTCGCAAATTCAAGGCAAAGGGCACTGTTGAAACGCTACCTGGTCAGTGGCAGAAAGAAGATGCTGACTTCGACTGCTGCTGTGCGCTACCTGAAGCGTAGAGAGTGGAGAGAAGTCCCCGTGTGACTGCTGAGGAACTGAGAGAAAAGATTTGTCAGATGTGGGTACAGAAGTTTCAGCCCAGACAATAAGACGCACACTGCGTAATGAAGGCCTCCGTGCCAGAACTCCCAGGCGTACCCACCCCCTTGCTGTCTCCAAAGAATAAGAAGAGTCGACTGCAGTATATGCCAAAAGCCATGTGGACAAACCACAAAAAGTTGTGGGATAGTGTTCTGTGGACTGATGAAACAAAATTAGAACTGTTTGGGCCCCCATGGATCAACGCTATGTTTGGAGGAGGAAAGAACAAGGCCTATGATGAAAAGAACACCTTGCCTACTGTGAAGCATGGTGGAGGGTCAATCATGCTTTGGGGCTGTTTTGCTTCTGCAGGTACAGGGAAGCTTCAGCGTGTGTGCAAGGGTACCATGAATTCTCTTCAGTACCAGGAGATATTGGATGGAAACGTGATGCAGTCCGTCACACACCTGAGGCTTGGGAGACGTTGGACCTTTCAACAGGACAATGATCCCAAGCATACCTCCAAGTCCACTAGAGCATGGTTGCAGAGGAAAGGCTGGAACACATTTTGGAGTGGCCATCGCAGTCACCAGACTTAAATCCGATTGAGAACCTCTGGTGGGACTTAAAGAAAGCAGTTGCAGTGCGCAAGCCTAAGAATGTGACTGAACTGGAGGCCTTTGCCCATGAAGAATGGGCGAAGATACCCGTTTAGATCGCTGCAAGACACTTGTGTCAAGCTAGCTTCACGTTTAAAAAGCTGTTATAACTGTAAAAGGATGCTGTACTAATGTACTAAGATTGAATGTCCACTTGGGGGTTGAAATAAAACTGATAATGCTGTGAGTTGTGTCTGACCTACAAGTGCCTCTTTAATGTAAATGTAAGCAAGATGACTGAATGATCAAAAGCAATGTCCAATCTGGCCTAAAAAACACTCTCAAGCGGGTCAGTGGGGGGTTGATCATAATGTCCCTTTTGGGCACAACTGTACATTGGTGATCAGTGGGAAGAATGTCCCTTACATTGGTGGTCAGTGGGGAAGAATGTCCCTTACATTGGTGGGGTCAGTGGGAAGAATGTCCCTTACATTGGGGGTCAGTGGGAAGAATGTCCCTTACATTGGTGATCAGTGGGGGAAGAAGAATGTCCCTTACATTGGGGGTCAGTGGGAAGAATGTCCCTTACATTTGAGTTGGTCAGTGGGAAGAATGCCCCTTACATTGGTGATCAGTGGGAAGAATGTCCCTTACATTTGGTGATCAGTGGGAAGAATGTCCCTTACATTGGGGGGTCAGTGGGAAGAATGTCCCTTACATTGGGGGGTGGGGGAAGAATCAGTGGGAAGAATGTCCCTTACATTGGGGGAATCAGTGGGAAGAATGTCCCTTACATTGGGGGTCAGTGGGAAGAATGTCCCTTAAGAAGTGGAATGTCCCTTACATTGGTGATCAGTGGGAAGAATGCCCCTTACATTGGGGTCCCAGTGGGTCAAGAATGTCCCTTACATTGGGTCAGTGGGAAGTGATACAGTGGGTGGGAAGAATGTCCCTTACATTGGGGGTCAGTGGGGAAGAACGATGGTGGAGGGGAACTCCCCTTACATTGGGGAAGAATACATTGGTCAGTGGGAAGAAGGTGCCCTTACATTGGTGATCAGTGGGAAGAATGTCCCTTACACTGGTGATCAGTGAGAAGAATGTCCCTTACATTGGGGGTCAGTGGGAAGAATGTCCCTTACATTGGGGGTCAGTGGGAAGAATGTCCCTTACATTGGGGGTCAGTGTGGGAAGAATGTCCCTTACATTTGGGGGTCAGTGGGAAGAGAATGTCCCTTACATTGGGGATCAGTGGGAAGAATGTCCCTTATCATTGGGGGGTCAGTGGGAAGAATGTCCCTTACATTGGTGATCAGTGGGAAGAATGTCCCTTACATTGGTGATCAGTGGGAAGAATGTACCTTACATTGAGGGTCAGTGGGAAGAATGTCCCTTACATTGGGGGTCAGTGGGAAGAAGAAAGTCCCTTACATTGGTGGTCAGTGGGAAGAATGTCCCTTACATTGGTGGTCAGTAGGAAGAACGTCCCTTACATTGGTGGTCAGTAGGAAAAAAAACGTCCCTTACATTGGGGGTCAGTGGGAAGAATGCCCCTAACATTGGGCATCAGTGAGAGGAATGCCCCTTACATTGGTGGTCAGTGGGAAGAACGTCCCTTAC